AGGGTAGTTTGAGGGCGGACCGTGAATCCCAAGAGCACAGTGGGAAGGTGAGAGGGGTGAGGGGAGGAGAGAGAATGGGGTCAGTTAGAGGATTAAAGAGCTGTGTGGAGACAGGGCCCCGTCGTGATGGAAAAACCAGAGCTCGGGCTCCTGGGGGAGACAGAGGTGAACAGAGATGAAGGACAGGATGGGGTCAGGCCTGATGGCGTCTGGGACGGAGGGGAGTGACGGAGGGGAGTTCACAATGGATGATCTGGGGCCAACAGTAGATGTTTCCACCCTGGAGCGCAACAGCCCTAGCAGTGAACTAGCTGTGTGACAGTGGACAAGTAGCCAGACCTCTCTGAGCCCCAGTTTCCTTGCATTAAAATAGAATAAAGTCTCTAGCTGAAGTGGTGGTTTTGAAAATTAATGCGGTGACCTATAGAAAAGCCAATCCTATGCCTGACTTTGAGTGAGCAGCCAAAGGAAGAACCGTCAGACTCTTGAGACTGTTTCGTGTTCTTTGATTCTGGGATGGGCCAGTCGGGAGGTATGTTCATGCAGGACTTCTGGGCTAATTCGATGCAAAGCTGTACTCCTCCTAAGGGAAACACGGCGGACGCACACAGGACCATGGTGGCAAAGATCACACGTGGAAATCACAGTCACCCTACCCTGTGTGGTATCCAACACGCTTAAAAGTAGAGAGTCTCTAATACATACCTGGAAAGGGAAAATCCACAAGTCCACACTTTACTGTTGCACCTCTCTGGAGCCTAAAAGATGGACCTGTTTGTTCAAAGGCCACTCATTGAGGGCTAGGTATTTCTAGCCTTCAAGTTAACATAAAGGTCAAAGTGTGCAAAGAACAGAAAAGCTAATTCGAACTGGCAAATAAACAAACAAAACTTGGAGGTAGAGTCATGCTACGTAAAAGGCCAGAGGTGGCTTCAGGCATGGCTGGATCCAGGGTCTAACCAATGCTATCAGAGTCCATTCTCTCTCCACTCTAGCCTCTACTTTCTTCTGTGTTGGTTTTATTTTTACACATGGCTTATTTTTTTGTGGTGACAGAGCGGTTGCAGGCAACCCTAGGCTTACAGCTTCAGAGGGCAAGTAGAAGAATGAGGGCCCCTCTTTTCAAGTTCAGCAGAGCTCCCCAAAACACATCTGATTGGCCCTGACTGGGTCATAGGCCCATCCCTGAAACAATCACAGTGTCCAGTGGTGGGTATGACGCTCTGGTTTAACTCCCTGGGTCAGGCTGGGGGTGAACCACACCCAACCCCAAGGAAGGGAAGTGGGGCGGGTGAGTGCACCAAGGAAAACCAGGGAGCTTTTGCCAGAGAAAGAACACATGAGGGCCAGAAGAGTAAGAAACAAACAGGCTTCTTCCCACAATGGCTTCGACACATCTGTGAAGAAATGTTAGACCATCAAAACTGAGAACAGGCATTAGTAGAGGCATCGGGATTGGTCTGGTAATTTTCATAGGCATATCAAACACTTGATGGGTAAAGAGAAAGGGTATCTCCAAGGTATTCCTAAAAACTCCTTTTAAATAAGACAACTTACAAACCAGTGATACTAATTCATTAGTTTTAAAAAATGAAGAGGAAGGGGGGCACCTGGGTGGCTCAGTCAGTTAAGCATCTGAATCTTGGTTTTGGCTCAGGTCGTGATCCCAGGGTCAGGCTCTGAGCTTAGCGTGGGGTCTGCTTGAGAGTCTCTCTCCCTCTTCCTCTGCCCCTACCGCTCGTGCTCTCTCTCTAAAATGAATAAACCTTTAAAAAAATAAATTTAAAAAATAAAAAATGAAGAGGAACAATCGGATAGAGTATTCCCAGAGTAATATTCAAATAGGATAAATCTGCCTTCTGTGTTTGGCCATGGCCCTCTGTCACAACTCCCAACCTTCTTCCCCGGGCTGCCCACCAAAGGCGCGGGTACCTGTCCTCCCACGCAGAGAGGTCAACCTCTCTGCCCAGTTTGAGCAGCATCTGCTTCTCAGCCTCCACCTCTCGTCTCCAGCACCTGGACGATGTTCCCTCTGGGGTGGTTGGCACAGACCATAATGTGGCAAAGAGGAATGCTGTAAAATTACCTGCGGCTGGCGTTTTAGGAAAAGTCAGAAGAGTAGGTACTGCGTCGTCTGGTTTCGGCCACCGGGAGGGGTGGGGACAGTGATGGGGGACACTGAGCGTGGGTGGTGCTGCGGAGAATTTGGACTTCCCAGCTCTTTGTGTTGCTGTTAGAAAAGCAGCAGACCGTGCATCCACAGAGAAACGCTGGAGTTATGGAGTCAACCTTGAGATCTTGTAAGTAGAGAATCAGACCAGAGAAAAAGCTCTGCTGGATCAACTGCCCACTGCAAGAAGAATCGATTGAGACTGGAGATAAAGGGGAGATGCCACCATCATGGCACCAGTCCCGTGGATTTAGAGAAAGAAAAATAGGCATTAAAAATTATGTTCAGTATGGCGTGACTCAAAAACACATTCAGATCTAAGAACGTGGGGGGAAACTCAAATGTCCTAGGAGACACATTAATTAGAGCCCAGCAGATTACAGCTTTGCAGAGAAAAAGCAGAGAAGGAACGTCCTGCACTGCTTCAAAACAGTTGGATCAAAGATGGGCAGCAAGAAAAAACTCAGTCCTGGAAGAGAGAAGAGAGGAGGGAAGCAAGCAAGTCAGCCTTCTTCATTTGAAGCTTGAGGGGGGAAAGATAAGGAGCGAGAAAAGCGTAAAGATCCCAGTGGAAAGCAGGATTGACGAGGGAACAGCTCTTTAATAGAGGGGATGGAGTGCAACGTGGAAAACGGGTCATAAAAATGAGTTCAGCTGTGGAGTCTGTTCTTACTTTGAAAGGACTCCACGTTAAAGGCAAAGTTCAGGCATAAGTTAATTTTCTGCTATATCATATGTCTCCCCCAAATGCTCAGTCCTCGTTAGCACGGTTCCATCACAAAGATGCATGATTCTCCTTTGACGTTCTAGGCTCTCATTTTCTCTCCCTGCTTCGTGCCTCACGCCCTCTGCCCATAAGTACCTAACCCACAGCACCCCCGTGGGCATCGGGGACTCCTCCCCAACCGCACTGCACAGGGGCCCAGCTGTCGCGGTGCTGGGCACAGAAGTCTGCTCCCACCCTCCAGGTGCTACCTGCTGCGTTCTGTCATAGGACACACCATCCCTGGCACGCTCCTGTTGCAGCATCAGAACAGCATGTCCCCGTGTCCTGATTTTATGCATAAATGCCATCCCCGTCCAGCTCTCTGGCGGGAGCCTGAGCTCCTTGAGGGAAGACACCGTCTCTCTCACCACTTCTTGTTCTCTTGCTCCACCTTCTCTGCTCCTACTCGCGTCTGGCACAACGGAGTCTTGGGGGCTCACACTTTTGGGATAAGCCAAGAGAGCTCCCATCACCTGCATGCACAGTGGTTGGAATGAGGCTTAATTTCTGAAGGAACCACCTGTGGTTTAACAGACCCACCGTTCACTTCATAGATGAGGAAACTGGTATCTAGGGTTGTAAACTAGGATGGGTCATAATACTAATTTTACTTCTAAATGGGGCTGAAGCTACTTGAGCCCAAAGCGAACATGCACTCACACTTACACGCTCATGCCTGCACTTGTGTTCCTGCAAGCACGCACACTTGCACCGTCGTACACCGCCGTACCATGCGCTCACACACTCGCACTTGTGTGCGTACACGCACATACTAGCACACTCTCAGATGCATGCACACACGTGCACACACACACATGTCCCTGGGGGTGTCGAAGACACACGCAGGGGATGCCGGACTTTCTTCTTCGTCATCATTACACTTTCTGCTTTCTTGAGGGGAGGGGCAGTGTTAACGTCACCATTGCGCAGAGCTCCCACCTGAGGCTCCACCATCGGGGGCCTCGTCCTGATGCCGCAGCTCGGAGCTACAGATCCCCACACCAGAGGACCCTGTCACCCCATCCCGAGGCACAGCTTCTGTCTCGAGAGAGAGGCATCTCCCGCATTTACGCACCTCTGCATGTTCTCCTGTGATGCTCATCAGAGCCACGGGCAGGCACAGCTCTACGGGGAGGAAGCCCCTCCCCCACCAGTTCCACTGTTTTCTAGCTGTTTCCAGAACATGCCTCATGCATCTCACCATCTTTGTCCCCACCGTCCCTCTGCCTGGGACGTGCTTCTCTCCCCACCTCCCATTTGGCTTTAGAAGCTTCACCAAAACAAAGGATACTCCTGCATGAAGCCCCGCCCCTGCCTCCCAAAGATTCTCCTGCCTGCAGATCGACCCTGACTCACCTGTGCTGTCACAGACAGCCCTTTCCTGCCACGGAGCAGGTGATTTATAAATATCTGGTCACACCCCTGTGTTAAGGCACCTGTCCTTCCTCGCTCCATTGATAGTAGACTGGCATACCTTGCCATACAGTCACATACCTTGTTGTAAGGACCTTCATGACGGGAAACATTTCTGATACATTGCTTGTAGCTCCTGGAGCTCTTAGCACCGGCCTTCAATGTGGGAGACAGCACAAAATGTTTTCAAAAATTCAATTACATACAAATATTCAGATGCAAGTCTATTTGTTACCCCCAATAAGTACATACATTATTATGTTCCTTTAAACTATATAATAAAAAGTTTGCTGCACTAAATTTTATGTAATGAAATCAAATATAACACAGAATGCAGGAAAACTTCTTGCCCCATACCATTGAAAAATAGTCAATCAACTTATTTTTCAAAGGGTAGAATTATGATCCATAGAATCAGAAATAACCATTATAATGAAAGTAATCATTTGCAATTTAAGGCAAAGGCAACCATTGTACAAAAAAAAAAAAGTTCTGCTGTTATACAGCATCATTATTTTATTATTTACAATTTAACAGACAAGTTGAATTGACCCATTTGAAAAAAATCAACCAAGCCGCAGCCGCGGCGACGGCACAGAGGAGCCAGACACAGAGAGGGGCTGTTTGCGGGGTGGGGAGGGGGGGTTCGCTATGTCGGATGACGATTCGAGAGCCAGCACCAGCTCCTCCTCATCTTCGTCCTCCAATCAGCAAACCGAGAAAGAAACAAACACCCCCAAGAAGAAGGAGAGTAAAGTCAGCCTGAGCAAAAACTCCAGACTCCTCTCTACCAGTGCCAAGAGGATTCAGAAGGAACTGGCAGACATCACTTTAGACCCTCCACCTAACTGCAGTGCTGGTCCCAAAGGTGATAACGTCTATGAATGGAGATCAACCATTCTGGGGCCTCCAGGATCCGTGTATGAGGGTGGTATATTCTTCCTTGATATCACTTTTACACCAGAATACCCCCTCAAGCCTCCAAAGGTTACATTTCAGACAAGAATCTATCACTGTAATATTAACAGTCAAGGAGTTATTTGCTTGGACATATTAAAAGATAACTGGAGTCCGGCACTAACCATTTCTAAAGTTCTTTCTGTCTGCTTCCTTCTTACAGACTGTAATCCTGCTGACACTTTGGTGGGAAGTATTGCCACTCAGTATATGACCAACAGAGCAGAACATGACAGAATGGCCAGACAGTGGACCAAGAGATACACTACATAAATTGGGTTTCCACAATTCTTATTTGTCTGTCACAGAGAGAGCTACTTATGATTTTGAAGGGCTGGGGGAGGGTGGGAGTTGGTAAAGAGTAGGGTATTTCTATAACATATTATTCAGTCTAATTTCCTAAGATTTTGTTGTAACTTAAGGTATCTTGCTACAGTAGACAGAATTGGTAATGACAACTTTTTAAAACTGTCATTAGTTTTGCAATATTAGCTGAAATGTAGTACAGAGAGTAGACATTAGGGTTCACTTGCTTATAGTCTGTAAATTTAAAATAGCTTAATTTTGTACAGGTTACACCCATGGCCATTTATGTAAAGTCCTTCCAAGGCTACACATTTTTTTGTTGTTCAAAACAATTGGAATTTGTTTTCCCTTCTTGGGAGGGAACATTGATATTTAATGGTTTTTAGAGACTGTCATCTCATACATATAAAATGGATACGTGGCTATAAGACACCATATAGGAAATGAGTAGTTATGTATTTTATTTTATATGCCAATCTACTTTATTGTGACAAGATAAGAGGTTTAAATCACAACTTGTGAAAACCTGTAGTAAAATACCTTAAGCTGTTAACTGTAAGGTGTGGAATAGGAGTTGCTCAGTGGATTGGTTATATATGTTGTGGACTACTTACGTCTGCATTTGTTCCTGTGCTAATAAACAACATTAAAACAAAACAAAACAAAAAAAGAAAAAAAAATCAACCAGAAATCTCAGCTGGTAAAGTAAGAGGAGGAAGAAGTCTTAGGAGGAAGAGCAGATGGAGGGAGCAAGGCAGGCTGGAGAATGAGCCGCGGCCTTCCTGCAGGCTGACACGTCCAGCGCCGGGTGCTCACTGCCTTCCTGGCACCTCACACCTTAACTCCAAGTCGCTCACCTGGATGGATGTGGTTTTTTACCAGATCTCACAGCTCAGCCTAAATGGCCTGTCACCACATGGTCTAACGGGCCAGAAAGTCAGGTGCACAGAGATGACCTTGCATCCACTTTCCCGTCTGCTAGACCGTGAGTTCCAGGCAGGCGGGGCGCTGGGCTCAGCCTGGAACCTGCAATGTTACAGGTGCCCAGTCAGCCTCGGTAGAGTAAACATGCTCTCCCCACGCCATCAGGTGGTCAATGACAACCTTGGCCAATCCAAATTATTTACTTATGTATTTGTTTATTTGAAAGAGAGAGAATGAACAGGGGAAGAAGCAGAAGGACAAGGACAAGTAGACTCTGCTTGGGGCCAGATGTGGGGCTCGATCTCACGACCCTGAGATCATGACCTGAGCTGAAGTCAAGAGTCGGACGCTTCACTGACTGAGCCACTGAGGTGCCCCTTGGCCAGTCCAAATTTTTAAAACATCTCTAAAGCGTAGTAGGTCACATTAAGGAAGAAACTGGCTAGAGAGGAGATAAAGTTAATTCGACCTTCAGCTCTGCACTGTGACCCTCTGCTCCCTCAGCTTCTAGGGGCTGGCCTACCCCGCCGGCCCTCCAGCCCTCTGGCCACACCCATGACCTCGGGCCGGGGTTCTCCTTGTCCTGGCCTCCTCCTCCCGTGGACAGGTTCGTTCCGTGGTCCTGTGGGAATGTCTGTGGGAACCAGTGTTGGGATCACAGCTCATCTGCACCCTCTGCAGGGCTGCACTGCTGTCTATCCTGAAGGTCACCCAAGGTCAAGTGTCAGCTCTCCCCTGCCCCACTCCCCCTCAAAATGCCAAAATGTCCGAATCTAAACTCCTCGGTCCGCCCGATGGGCTCCCCTCCTACCTCTTCTCCATTAAAGGTCTAGCGCATCTCTGGCTTCCTAAGCTTGGCTCCTGGTGACCTTTGATGACCCCTCTCCTGCTCCAGCCCCTACAGGCTTCCACGTAAAGTGTTTCTTGTTCATATTTCCCCATCACCACCCTGGATCAACCTTTGCTCCAAGATTGTTTAATTGCCTCCCACCCGTGCTTCCTGCCTCCACCCTTCCCTTCACAGTCATCTTGCACATTCCAGAAGGTCATGTTTCAAAAACAGGACTTGATCATAACAGAAGTCCTGCCACCCCTCCACAGGCAAAGCCACATGGCTCCTATGGCCTCCAAGTCAGAGCCTCTCCCTCCCTTACACGTGTGTGCCCACAGCTGTTCGCGGGCCACCTATTCCTGTCCCGATGCCCCACTGACCATGCCATTCCTGGCGCCGGGCCAGCAAAACCAGAACAAATGGGGAAAACCCTCCCTGGGTGTGGAAAGCAGCCCGATGCTGAGTGTGGCCCATGTAGCGAGCGAGTGCTGTTCGGTGCGTGTGCACACAGCCGCCGGAGGAACCACGGAAGGGACCCGGATGCCGGGCCATCCTGAAGGTCGGCTGAGCGGAATCTTGCAGCTTATGCATCGGCCCGGAAGGTGGTTCGAGCCCAGGCGCGGCGGCGGGAACAGTGGCAGGCCGTTGGGTGGGAACACCGAGGAACGGAACACGGCCGTGGCCTGCGAGCAGCCTGGGTCCCACAAGCCGGAGGGCTGGGCACCCCTGGTTACACGAAAGGAGCCTGTGGATTTGTAGAGGCTCCCGGGGTGGAGGAGGGGAAAGGCCGAGGAAAGAGGGGACAGCAAGAACAGAGGCCCCTCGGCCGCGGAGTTTGAAGCATGAGCTCGGAGGGTGTGGAACCGTGTGTGGTGAGGCCACAGTGCAGCCAAGGCCAAAGCCAAGGTGAAGGATGGAAGCAGAGAACAAAGCCCAAATCCTGTGCCCCCCCCCTTCCTTCTGCGGCCCCCACAGTCCATCCGCCCACACCCTCGTGTGTGTGGTGTTTGCACACCCTGACCTTTCTCTCTTCCCAGCTTTTGCTCCTTCAAGGCCATTCACCTGGCCTCCATGCTCCCCGCCCCCTCCAAGTTCCTCCCATCCGCCAAAACTCCCCTCAGGGCCCCCCGTTTCCCACGGGCAGTGGATGACCCTCCCTCGGTGGGTACCGGGCTGATCACCCAGCCTGTGGGTAGCCTTTGCGTTTGGAACTCAGCTGTGCCCTCCTCAGAGGAGTCCTTGGTACCCGAGGAGAGAGGGCCGCCCATCCAGCGTGGCCACGGACGAGGGAACGGCTCGGGGGCTGGGTCCACTGGGGGCGTCCTGGCTGTGCCGCTGACCAGCTGGGTGACTGTGTGAGTGTCCGAGAGCCACCATAACAAGCCACCACACGCTTGGGGGCTGAAAGCCACAGAAGTGTATTCTCTCACGGTTCTCAGGGCCAGGAGTCTGAAGTTAAGGAGTCCGCAGCGTTGGAGGGGGGATGCACCCCATGCCTCGCTCCTGACTCCTGGCGGCTACTGGCCACCGTTGGCCTGCCCTGGCTGGTCACCCCGTCGCTGGTTTCTGCTGCCACCTCCACACCTCCCCACATGTCTCTGTCTTCTCCTTTTTCTCTACGGGCATGTGTCATTGAATTTAGGGCCCATGGTCAATCCAGGAGGAGCTCATCTTGAGATCTTTAACAAAACCCCATCTGCAAAGACCCTTTTTCCAAGGGTTCCATTCGAAGGTACCAGGGTTGGGAGTCAGACATATCCTTTTGGGCGACACTATTCTACCCACCACAGTGACCTTGGGCTCTTAGCATTAGCTTCCGGTTCGTAAAAGGGGCTCATGATACCTGCTCTAAAAGGATCGCTGTAAATATCAGAGAAAATAGAGGATTCAGAAGCCAGGCTCATGGGGCAGGAGAGCCTATGGAGTGACTGATAATGGGGAGATGGCTTTTTGGGGGGGGGGTGATAAAATTGTTCTAGAGTAAGTGGCAATGTTTGCACACCTCATTGAATGTACTAAAAATCATTGAATTGCCTGCTTAAGGAGTGAACTTAATGGTATGTTGGATCATTTCTCGATAAACTGTTCTTTTTTAAAAGGAGCCTGGCTCAGGGGGGTGGTGTCTTCATAAATCCTAGCTGCTATTATTATTATTGATGTGCCACTCACAACTACTATTAAAATCTTTTATAATAGTCTAACATTTTACCTCTTTTGTCATATGCCTCCCAAACCCCGATATGATTACATTTGAAACGGGAACCATGGGTGAGATGTCTTTGTGGGTTCTACCAGAGCCCGCCTAGGGCTTCACACGTAGTAGGGGACAATGCAAATTTGTCTTGATCATACATGAGTAGTTCCCATGGAAATTACTTGTTGAGAGTAAGCCCTCCAGTGCTTGCATGTTCACTAATATTGCCGTGATCACCGTATCCAGCGTAGGTGAGGTGGGATATTGCTTTTACCCATGGGCTCCCCAGGAAAGAGCTGAAATTAAATTTCATGCCAACCACATTTCTAACTTATGATTGGCAGCCTGATATTGAGACCAAAAGTCTTTTTTCCAAGAAAATTCAATTAGCAATTGAACATGGAGCTAGTCCAGATAATTCATATATTCTCATCATTACGTTATTACAGGTAGTCAAAATCCGTGCCACTCTCCTGCTTGCCTGGGAGTAGTAAGAAAAATCATAATAAGAACAACAACATTAAGCCGTGTTATTGCCTGATGCACCGTTGCTTTGGAGATTAAAAACTGAATTTTGAGAAAAACAAAAACTTATCTCAAGGAAATACAGGCCTCCTGAGTTTTCACTTTGAAAGCTAACAAAGTCAATTTAAAATGTTAATAGATTCCTCTAAGTTTCTATTGAAGGAAAAACAACAGGATTTTAAAATTTAAAGTAAGGCTGCCAATTTTCTCTGGCTTTTTTTCTCCTCCATCATGCTCATCTTTGTCCAGGGCCCCAGCCCATGCTCAAAAGAGCCCTAGAGGGAGACAGGAGCGCGGAAGGGTTGAAAGGGCTTGGGCACACAGGTCCCAGCTCTGCCTCCTACTCTGCTACTCTCCCTACTACTCTCCCCCTACTCTCCCCCTAGAAAAGGTACCTGAGGTCTTCATTTTTCTGCCCCACTCTGGTAAGGGGAAAGAACCACAACCTCAAAGTCTGCTGGATTTAAATTCCATATTCCGAGATACTTCCAACTCCAAGTTTACAACTAAATATCTTTAACATTCAACATAAATTACACTCGCTTATCTAGCTTGGGGCAAACAAGGGCTGTGAGAACATCAAAATTTTAATCTCAGAAACCCTGAATCCTTGAATTTTGTGTCCACTGTTGTTTCCAGCAATCTCTAGGGCTAAATGATTAATTATACCCACGACGGTCCAAAGCAATTATTTAATTAAGCTGTATTACAGGCTGCCAATTGTTTAGAGCAAAGGGAAAGCCTTCACCCCAGTTTCTCAACATCTGGCCTTTGGATGACTTATAAGATAAAAGGAGATATGAGAACATTTTTATGACTAAGTAACAATTTCTAAAAATTTTCCATTAAGTAGAAAAACTTTTTCAGTAATTTGTTTCTCATGATTAGAACTTGGTGACATGTTTTACTGTGAGTGTCCAGCTTACTTAACCCTAACGCAAAATAGAAGATGTTGCAGTATCAAATGAAATGTTGGTATCATCTTTGTTTTAGGGCAGGAAAGTCAGTTTTTTAGCAAATCCGTATTTTCCGTTCAAGTGTGTTTGTCTTCTGCATTCCCTTGGCCTATCATTTTTAAGTACTCTTTCTTAATTTAGGCTATTTAAAATCAACTTTAATAAACAAAAATCCCATTACCTATTCCAAACTTAGAAATCTAAGTTTTGTTTCATAAAGA